TTTTGTTAGGATTTACATTTGGAATTTATTAGATCTAAATTCATATGATTTAGTAAATGTAGATCAAATGTTGTTTATAGAAAGATATTAAAACCTTATAAAAGAAATGAATCAAGCTCAAAAAATGAAAATTGAGAGGGAGAGGCTAGACTCTAGGAGCTTCTCATTGAATTTGAGACTTTAAAGAAGACAATATTAACTCTAGAAGCTAGAATTGAGATCAAGAAGGCTAAAGTGGCCAAGTAGATTGAGAGCTTGATAACTATGCAGCAAAGAGTTGGCTGACTCTATGTATCAAGCCAAATCGATGGTAACCACCTTAACCGGATTGAAGAAAATTGAGTTAGCTATCAATTCATCCTATTTAGTTTCCCAAGAAGTTTGCCCATAGAATTTGTCGAGAGGCCAGTGAACTTAGGGTGGAAATTTTTTCCTGATGAGGAAGTTTTATTATACTTTCTGGATGAGACAATTTGTAGTAACGACTGATTTCATTTTTTGATAGTTTATCCAAAGAGAAGATTTCCCTCACAATATTGAACTTGATCCACAATTCTATTGCATATTGGGAGGAGTTGCATTGTCTCTATGCCGAGTTCAATAGCTCTATTGCTTGTTCAAGTCGTCCTTGAGAATACCCATGAGCCTTGATTTTATAGCCGACTCCTTTTTATTTCATTATGAATTTTTTTACGTCAATTAAATCACGATGCCTTTCTAATTTCTTTTCTTTTAAATTAATGCAATTAAATTTCTATATTTGATGAAAAAAATTGTTTCTTTTAAATTTGTTCGTGTTTATAAGACAAATTTATATCATCTCACTGAAATCTATTTATTGTAATTGACCTTGTATATGATGTCGGATCTCCTTGGGTTCCCTAAGTATGATGAACTATTGAGTTCTTCTGGACAAGTTCCTTAACTACAGCGAATTATTAAATTCTTTTAGATGAGCACTTTGAGTATTTGATGAATATATAAATAGCATGATATAACACTATAAAATTTGCCAAAATAGAAATTTTTTTTTTTTTTTTGCAAAGAAAAAACTGAACTAAAAAATTAAAATTATCTTCATTCACTAAAAGAATAATTTCACAAGAACATCAAGGACTCAAGGTGCTTCTCTTTCAAAGATTGAATATCATTAAGCCATCTCCACTCTAAGTTCTTAGAATGTCCTTCCTAGCGTGGGTTTAAAATCCATATGCTTTACGATTTCGATATTGTAAGATCATTTTCACATAGATTTGAGCTTTATAAGGATGGATCACTGTGATGTCATGTCGACTTTTGAAGGACAAGATATATCGAGCAAAAGTTTTGTTCACAAACATTTGTATCATAACATTAGTTGACTTGTCTATTCAATCTCTTCTGGATAGATATTTAAAATCTGAGTTCTTCATGAAGGTGAGAGAAGTTCACAATCCTTTTTCTACTGACAAGCACTTCTCCAAATTTTGAAGATGACTAGTAACTACACATGTTGCATTTGACAGGTAAGAGCACTTTAAACCTATGGAAGAGGACAAAGAAAGTTTGACTTGAAGCAAAGGGGCTGTTCAAAAGGCCTAGAACACAAAAAAAAAAAAGCTTTCCAACCCATTTTCCTTAAATGCCTTCTTTTATATTGAGATGATTCAAAATTAGTTTTAAGCAAATTCTACCTGTTGGTTAATAATGGGATGCTGTACAAAAGGTTTAACTGTTTGACTTTGGAAAGATTCTTTTTATTGTTAATGAATTATGGACAATTGTCACTAATATTTACCATTAGTAGACCAAAGTGGTGGATAACGTTAATCCAAACATATTTTTTTATTGTTTTAGAATTCACCTTTACAAGAGCTTTAGCATAATTCCATTTTATAAATTGGTATATTATAACGAGAATGAATCATTATTTACTACTCTCTGGAGGGAAAGGTCAAAATAGGTACATATCCCATATAACAATTAGCAACAGATTAAAAATCAACTAAAGCTTAAGAGAAGGTTGGAGTTGTAAGAGAGCAAACTTTTAAAATTGAATATATATAATTGATAACTCTTCTGATCTTATCACAAAGTTAGCCAAAAGTAGCCTTGCTATATAACTCATTAGACTAGTGTTCTTTCTCCTGAGACACTTTTGCATTCCTAAAATGAACCTCCTTTAAGTTGCCAACAATTTCAATCTTGTGTTCACATCACATTAATTATAGTCAATGACTTTCTAAAAACCTACCCATTGATAAACAAATATTGTGTAGCCTTGACCTTGAACCTTATGGGGTCCTTAAGGTAAGATGGAATTTAGCTTGTAGAAAGATATTAAATAAATGAATCAATCTAAGTAGAGGGGACATCAACTTACATGGCTTTATTTAAGATCTTTGATGATCAAGTAGGTGGGATTGATTATAAGCCAAACATATATATAAATACAACTGGAAAGAAAGTCAGAAAATTGGTTATATTCTCAAGGAATATGTTTATACTAAAGTGCTCCAACTTGATGATCTCAATTTTGAATTTAACGATATATTTTTGTATAATGAGATCTCAAGATTCAAACTCTCCATTAACTTGATGAACCATTAGCTCAAAGTAAAACAAAATGGTGATATGCTTGCCATTAAATCCTAAAGCAAATTGCAAGTCGACAAGTATATCCTTGCACACTTCCTGTTTATTAGTGATTTGAAATCAAATTCGTACTGTATGTATAATAATATTTCTAGCTGGGCTTTACAATCTAATTCCAATTTCAACTCATTTAACTCTTTAGATATCATCGACAATAAGAGCCTAGAAAAGATCTTCATAATTATAAGTTTCATCTTCAACTTCCAGGAATGTTAAGTAGGCCGCATTGTCATTTATCATCAACACCTTAATGGTGGTCCTTGACATATATGATACAGGAAACTCAGTAAGCTCAATAAACCATTTGAGAAATCAACCATAATGATCTAACTTCAAGAGCACACCTTTTAAAGGATGATAAATGATAATTTTAAATACAAGGCTTGAAACTGTGTATGAACTCACTAACAACTAGCATTGATGCTATTTTCTACATGATTATGGATCTTATTTTGGCCCTATGAAGGATTTTCCCAAAATAATAAATTAGTCACTATGTCCTGCCATCACCTTTGATTAAACCTATGCTAATTACATCCTCGCTAACACCCAACTAAATGAGCAAGTCTTCATTGGATTGTGGGCCTGAGTGACGACTTTGCAAAGAGTAGCAACTACTACTAGTTGAATGTCTGTCCACAATCCCCCCAAGTGATTAGTAGCATGTTTTGACCATCAATATCCTTAAGCTCACCAATAATTTCATAAGAAGACTTCACAATGGGTGACAACCCTGAAGAATCAATGTTTATATGGTTGAAATATGTTTAATGAAATATTCATAAGACTACCTATGTCAATTAAGATATTACCAGCTAATAGTTGGCAATGAGGTTGCAATATATTATGTTATACAATCAATTAATTTAAATGGAGGTTATGGGCACCTTTGAAGATGTCGATGAACTTGAGGTTGCATGAATCTCTCTTGAACAAAGTTGCTTAAGGTTCTTATTCTACTTAATAGGCATGATGTTTCAATGCTGGCTTGGGTAAGCAAGAACCAACTTGTTGAATTTGTCAACGAAAATAAGTTATTCCAAGAGGCTTCGAAGGTGATGATAGTCCTTTATATTGTGACCAAATTGTTTATGGAGGATGTCCTAGTTCATCATGTCACAAGCATATAGTGTAGTGTGCATCGATAATTGATTCCAAATGCACTTGTCACAAATGGAGTTTCTAACTCGACCAAATACATTTAATGAGGAATGTAGGCAGGGTAACTCAATATTAAGTTGGCAAATACCTTCTTGAGGGATCATAAGTCAACGAAAATATGTTCTTCCAAGAGGCTTTAAAGGTGATGATAGTCCTTTATATTGTGACCATGGTCCTTATGGAGGATGTCATAGTTCATCATGTCACGAGCATATAGTGCAATGTGCATCAATAATGGATTCCAGATGTACTTGTCACAGATGGAGTTTCCAATTCGATCAAATACATTTAATGAGGAATATAGGCAATGTAACTCAATATTAAGTTGGCATCTCCCTTCTTGAGGGATCATAAGTCATCATATCTCTATCTTGCTTACAAGAACTCATTTGAACCATTCTAAAAGAGGAATAGTAAAAAAAAAATGAAAGAACAAGTTAAAGTGAGATTTCAAAGAGAATTTTGATGAGGTTTCATATGATTTTGTCATGCGATTTTTCTACAGTATTTTTCATCTGCTCGCGTTTGACTAATAACCCCTTTATTTATAGGTGAGGATCAACTCACTATTTCAAAATTGGCTGGATGGTATGATTACTTAGGGAATGCGTAGATTGAACCACTATAAATAGCTATATAACGAGCAAGTTTGTCATGAAACACTATAGTTAGCTATATAGCGAGCAACTTTGTCATGAAATCAGCTCCTAGTCATGGGTTAGGAATTGCAGGCAGATTGTCAATTGAGGTTGAGTACACTTGGCAAGTTCTTATGAGAATCTTTAGTTGGTTGGTTGATTTTCTGGGAAAGTTGAGTTCTTCTGAGTTAAAAGCCTTGATTAACAGGCCACTTTGTGAATCCTTCGAGCTGAGTTTAGTAGCTTATGGTGGGCAGAGTTAGATGCGACTCTTAGAAAACTTATTTGAAAAGCAATTCTTAATGACTTGAAGCTTCAGGCAACTTTAGATTTTGCGAGTTCCATGTTGTGGGCAGTTCAAGTTGGTTCTGAATCAATGACTTATTTTATCTAATTGAGGTCTTCATAATGGAATTATTAATCTAACCAAAATTACTCTGAATGTGCGCTAAATCCCACTTAAGTTAAATCCCAACTGCCCCCAAACAGCCCTTAATTACAACAAACATAAAAATGTTTGAAAAGATAAAGAAAAAGCACATAAAAGATAACTAAAAACATCTATACCTGTCTTAGCATTTGGTTCTCGTTTTGAACTGTGGATAGCCTCTCCTCCAGCTCCATGTTCTTCCTCTCCAGCTCCTTCACCTTCTCTTCCAAATCGCTTAAATAAGCCTTCTTTCTCTCTCTAGCCTGCTGCGCCGATACCCTATTCCTCAGCAACCTTTTTTCCACAACAAAAACATTATACACAAAAATAAAATTAAATATCATACATTTCCTTCTAATTATTAAAAATATTAAATAAATAGGCCTTAGTTAAAATACACGCAAGTAGGTGGGTCACCTCTTCAACCGCCTGTGCTCTTTTTCCGCAGGACTCCTTCCACGCTTCCTTTGACCGGCCACCGACGGACCTGCAGCGGCCGCTCCGCCGTGGCTTCCGGAAGCCGCCGGCCCCGTCTGCTCGCCGGCGACGAAGTCTGGTACTCTCCGAATCTCTTCGTCGCTCTCCATGCCTGCCAGCTCGAAGCGCGGCAACTTTAGATTTTGACAGGAAACAGAGGCTAGAGTAAATATGGAACCAAAAAATTTCGATTTTTGCTCCTTTCCTTGTAAGAGCAAAATGGAAATAAAAATCTATGAACAAAGTGCGAGCTTGCCTTCTTTGATTTCCAGGCGCAAGCCAGAGCTGGAGGATCTGGAACTCGTTGCTTGCTCTTGCTGCATCCTCTCTCTCCCTCTCTATCTCTTTGCTCGGCTCGAAGGAACGGCGTGAGTAGAGGAGAAGATTTCGCTATACTAATTCATTTTATATTTTGCTTCATTTACCTTTTTGGGAAATTGCTTCCGGGCACGCAAGTTCAGTCTGTAAAGAGGGGTTTGTGAGGGCTTAAAAGAGTGATCTTTTACCGTTGGATTGAAGAAAGGGGATGGTGGATACAGCGTCATCGTGGCAAAAGAAGCTGCCATACATGAAGAGAGAGATCGAATGGACAGGAGATGCGAAGCGTGGATGAACGGATCACCCTTCGATCCGAATCTAGTCGTGCGGCTGATGGATAGCGGTGCATCCGGGTCCTTTTCGGATGTTGCGGGAAAGATCCGAGATGACAATTAAAGCTGCTTAATTCTATTGTTCCCGGATCAACCTCGGACTAACGGAAAGCTCCTTATGTACGGATTGCTATTTGTTTTTTTTTTTCCTTTGCAAAAATAGGGACAAAATATGTCCAATTTCATTCAAAAATGAAATGTTACATTCAAATACAAAAATTTTGTATAAGAAAGAAAGAAAAACTTGCAAAACTAAAAGAAAGCCTAAAGCCTACTAATCAAAAACTTCTTAGAAAAGGAGTAAAATTACAATCAAGAAAAATAAGACTAGAAAGCTAGTCTTAAAAAAGGAAAGATAAAAAAATAGTAAAAGAAGAATACTTTAGCAGCCAAATAACAATCAAATTAAGCTCCAAAAGATCCACCAATAGAAAGACAGCTCCATATCCATAATAAATTCTCAATCAACAAAATATCACCTCCCAGATAACACAAGAACAAGATATCATCAAGTTCCATCCAGACCAACTACCGATCAATCTGGCTTTCATACAGACCAATAACCAGCTCAAAAAGATCCATCAACATATAGATAGCTCCAGATCCGTAACAAACGCTCAAACAACATAAAAACATCACCTAACATCACAAGATCAAGTCACCAAGAAACAATCACTAAGCCAACTGCCAATCAACCTGACAACCATCCAGACCAATACCCTGAAACAAAAAGACTACAAAACTAGTCAAAACAAATGCTCCAATAACAAAAAATAGCTCCTAGCTAACACAAGAATGAGCCACCAAAATCAAGTTATCATGGGCCACCCTCCATAAATTAATCAAAAAGCAATCAACCAAGCTTCCAACTAAACCAAAAGCCAATTGATTCAAATGAGACCAAAAAACAAGCACCCAGCAAAAAAGAAAAACAACCAAAATAAGGAAAACAACATTCAAGAACAAGCTACAAAAAAAAACAAACAAACCAATGTTGCAACCTAAGCTCACAAGTTTATATTTTTTATGATAACAAATATTGTGGCTCATATCCCTATGTCTATTTATATTTGCAATATATTTTTGTTTGTGTGTGTACTAATATTTCATGAACATCATGTATCATCCAACGAAGATTCAAGACTAGAGATTGGGTAGAATATGTGATGATGAAAAGATCTTTATAATATTCATTAATATATTTTTTATTTCTTGAGTCAAGTCATATAAGAGTGTATGCTAGCTTAGTGATCATGCACACACACACACTCATGGGGAGTGAGATTGAGTCAAAACCAGAAGTTTAATTTTTGAACTAATCATACTATACGATTTATATCATAATATACGATCAGCTCCTCTAACTAATCATATTAGATGATGTAGACCATCCAAGATGATCAGTTATGATCATAAAAAATAGTCGTCAATTATAATTAAGCAATATTTTAAATTTTTATTTTGTTATGATCGTCTAAGTTGATGTATATCATACTGGATGATTTATAATAATCATTAATGAATTGATCATATGATTAAGAGACTAATTATAGTTAATTTATTCAATCTAATCATCTAGGACAAATAGTAAAGATCATACTAGATAACCTGAGAGGTACATGGGATGATACTTGATTGTCCTGAATGAAATAAGATAATTTTTCTTCTAAACATCTTGGATAATATACAATATTATATTGGACAATCTGTATAAATTTGAACTGATCATATTGGACTATTTTGAGATTGTTTATGAATATCAGGTCAAATTATGTATATTATACTAGATGATCATACGGTCATACATGATAATATTTGGTGTTAGATTTGAGTTTATAGGGTTTTTCAAATTATGCACATTATACTAGATGATCCTATGATTGTAGTGTACGATCTTTACCGCTAGAATTAAGTTTCTAGGGTTTTTCGAAGACCTCTATTTGTGTTCTCCAAAGATATTATTAGTGTCTTTGGCGTGCATAGAGTCTCCATTCTTTTGGAGAAAACTTGAAGAGAGAGCCTTGAAAGGGAAAGAAAAGGGTGGAGTTTGAGAGGGAGAAGATTCTTATGGGTTTCAAGGGTGTGCGGAGGGGGTTTCATACAGTTGCTCTGGTAAGCTTGCACCTCAGTACTATCAGATTCAAGGTTTATCTTAAGGAAAGTGTTAGGAAGAAGAATATATCTTCGGTGTCAAACGACCCAACTACTCGGTCGCATCGGGGAAGGTACAGGTGATTCATGGTTCTCTGTCTGTGAAAGGATTTATGGTTCTCTACCGTCTTCTACAGGGAGAAAAAGGATTACAGTCCTCTACTGCACCGGGTTAGTGGAATAGATTTTATAAGGACTTCTTCACCTAGTTATAGGTTTTGCAACTTAGAATTCAAGATTGAGTTTGATATAATATAATTTTTTTATGATAATAAAATATTATTATAATGATTACTATTTCTCCTAACATACATTGGATATATATTCTTTTTTTTATTTGTGTATACTAACATTTAAAAAAAAAAATCATACTCTAAACTGTTGAAGACTTCAAGATAGAGTATATTAGGGTTTCATGTAATGAAGTATGTAATTTTTATATTTTTCTTGAGTTTGAGATAGTGTGATTGTAATTTGATAACTATGCACACACACCCAGGGGGAGTGAGTCAGATATTGAAATTTTAAAAAATTATCATATTGTACGATTTCAAATCATACTAGACAATTTGTCATGGTATTTTCTTCAAAATGAAGTTAATTAAATAATAGTAGAGAATTTTTTTTTATATTATCCATATTGTACAATATTTGTTCATATAGATAACTCATAGAGTACAAGATAACTCATAGAGTACAAAATGGGTGCGTACTAGTTCATCCCAAATGAACTCATAATTTTTTGAATTGTTCGTATTGTAAGATGGTTTTTCATACAAATGACTCATGGATTATGACATGGGTACATACTAATTCATCCCAAATGAACTCATTATTTTTTAAACTATTCAAATTATACAAAGCTTGGTTCATATACAGATGACTCAAATAGTACGAAATAGGTTCAACCATATTCATACCAAACAAAAGTATGATTTATTTAAATTATTCATACTATATGAAGTGTGGTTTGTATAGACGACTCATATTGTACGAAATGAGGTTCATACAGGATTGTATCTGATGAATTATTTCAATTTTAAACTATTTATGCAGTACGATGTCAGTTTGTAAATACCACTGATAGAGTATGAAATCAGGTTCGTATAGGATCGTATGTGGATTTTTTGAACTTTTTGTACAGACGATCTGTGATTGTACTATATGATCTGAGTATGTTTTAGTTATAATTTTTAATTTTCTGGATGGTTTTTCTTATCTTTAATATATAAGCGTCTTACAAACTGGTACTCTTAATCTTACTATGAATTTCTCTTAAGAGTGGATAAGGAGAGTATTTGGAAGAGTATTTTTAGGAGTGAAGAGTGAGAGATCTTATAAAAGAAAATTATGAGGGGATTCATAAAGTTTCCTAAAGGTAAGTATCTATTATTTATTCTTTAAAATTCTACCCTACCTCCTTGAAGGATCTTGAGAGAAGATTTTCAAAGAAGATCACGGCACACTACCGTCAGTAGGAGGGTGAGAAAGGATGTTGGTACTCTACTGTGGTCAGGAGAGTAAGAAAGGATGTTGGTACTATACCGTCACTAAGAGGGTGAGAAATGACATTGATACTCTACCATTATCAGGAGGGTGAGAAAGGATGTTGATACTCTGTCATCACTAGGAGGGTGAGAAAAGATGTTGGTACTCTACTACATCGAGTTAGTCAAAGAGTGGTTTTATAAGGGCTTCTCCACCTTGTTGTGGGGGAAAAAGGAGAGTCACTTTGATTTAGTACGATACATGAAGAATGAGTATTCAAGGAGTAAATGTAGGTATAGTTGGACCAAACCATAATAAAATTTGGTGTTTTTCTATTCCTTTACTTTTTACTACATTTTTATTTTCTACACTCTAAATTATTTTGGTTAAAAAATATTTTATGAAAATCTATCATTGAGTAAAACTCCTTCAAATAATTTTCTAAAATCTATGAAATTTTTTAAATTATTAATTCACCCCCCCCCCCACCACCTTGGTTAGCCTTGAGATAGTTTTATTAGGTCTTGTAACTTGCTTGAACTTTCAAGTGGTATCAGAGCCTACTTCAAAAATTAAGGTTTAGATAATTTCTTTATAAATGATTATGGATACTTTTGGAAACTGAAAAACTCCTAAAAGATATTCGATCACTTGACCACTGCTATTTGATAACATTCCTTTTGGCTTTAAAAAACTAGTATGTCTACTTTTCTATATTCACTTGACTATTGCATGTAAATTTTAGTACATGAAGGTTACACTAGACTTATTGATGGCATTAAGATTGAAACACTGTTTATTGATTGGATATTAAAGGAAAAAAAATCTAGCTTAGTTAAATATAAAATGTTCAAACAATTTTTTTGTACCCTAAAATCTGAGAATTATATGAGAGTTTCAACCTGTAAAACTAGAAAAAAAAATTAGGATAGACTTTGCATAACATATGAAGGAATTAACGAGGTTAAACAATCTAGATTGAACATTTTATTACATTACTACAAATGTTTTTTGTTGCGGATCTATGATTTATGATTTTGATGGTAGCAAACATTCCTTATTTCTCTACGATTGCCTTATGTGCTAACGTTTCAGGTTCACACGATCGGACTACAATTTAGAACCAACTCAAGATTGGGTAGACTAGGTCTGAGTTAGTTTGTAATC